AGATGTCATTAGAGAACATACACAATATATTCGAGAACTTTTATCTCTTCAATAAAAGATAAAGTTTTTCTATCTGTCTAGAATTTATTCGTCTTGTTAAGCAACTCATTTAGCAATTTTTTTATCGACTATTCAATATGAAATAGATTTATGATCTATTGTTGTCTATTATTTATTTCTATCTAATTCAAATCGGAGAAAAACCGTGAATAAATTCTTGCATACGTACGACTTTTTCGCAATCGGATCGGATCATTTTATACACGGATGCGAACCGGAGGTAATCGAGATTTAGTAGATATTTTCATAGTCACAGTAGGGTTTTCAAAATTTTATTTTATATAAAGAAAAAAGTATATTGATTTAGTTTCTTCCATATAAACAGTAAGAAAAAGAAGAGATCATTTCAAGTTCTACAAAAAAATAGAATGCAGTGTTGGTGCTAAACGTCATAACTGTAGATACATACATGAATGCTTTTTTTTTTCATCACGATCATACATGTTCATCGTTTTTGACAATTCATTTTTCTCCTTATGTGTTTAGTTATTTCGTCATATGGTTTCGCATAATGTGTAGATGAGTTTCTATTAAAATTGAATTCTTTTTATTAAAAGAATGCAGCTTTCTATTTCTGTGATTTATTTTCAAACATAATAAATTGTTCAATCATGAGCAAACAGGTTTTCACTTCAATGCTTTTATATAAATAGCAGTTTGAAGAAGTAAAAATATTTTGAAAGGTCGAAATCTCATTAATTGCTATGTCGAATATCGAGAACTCGGTCGGATTGCACGACGCTATCGCTATTCTACCACGGTTTATCGATAATTGTGCTTTGATCAGAAATCTATTGCAGGCATACCGATAGTAGTGAAATAAACCTGTCATATGGATTATATAAGTGCTATTGTGTGTGTGTACTACACTAGTTCTTTTGAGCATTAAAATGTACTGTACATCCAAAATAATACATAAATATATGTTATTAAAACTATAGCTAATTGACTAGAAGTTCATCAAAAATTTTCAAGATTGCCTAATTGAATGAATGTTCAGCATTAAATTCTTAAAAAATGGAGCTACTCAACGATGATTTAAACCCATGATACAATATTACTCTTCTATCATGAATATTGTTCTTTAATTCTTTATATTTTATGATGGTCTCTTGTATCAGTTAAAAACATTACTTTTCATGCATCAGAAATGTTTCCTACATTTCTTTAAATATTATACATTCAAAGCAATCAATGATTTGAGTAAACATGTCTTATTCATCTTCATGTTGTGCATGATCATGATGAGACTATTATAAATCATTCATCCATAAATTTTTTTGTATAAGTAAATACATATTAAGGTAGATATGCTATTACCTGAATTTACTTTTTCATCACATTTGAAAGCAAAAAACGAAAAGAAAAAATGATGAGTAACTATTTCGAGAATATCTGACACGTATTTTTCCCTTCGCAAATGTGTCAATCTATTCATATATTGCTTAATTTTTATAAATAAATGTTTTGATGAATCATATTGAATGAAATATGAGTATTGATTTGAATCATGATGAATACATTAGCGAAGAAGATTTATTAAGTCTATAAATACGAGCAAAAAAATGTTAATATAAATGGCGATAATATCATTGATCATTGTTCTAATGTTTTTATGATTATTCTTTGATAAAACGATATGCAATTATTAATCCAGTTAAACCATCAACTTATGATTACAGTACAGGTGTCTTCCGATAGGATTAATTATAGTGAATGTTTTTTTTTTTCTACTATAAAGTTTTTGATACATTAGAAGATCTGATCTCTTCTATTAAGTCTTTCAATAAAGTCATATTTTTTGGTAGTCTCGTCAGTAGTTCTTAGTTTCAATTCACTTTTTCTTAATATACCGTTAGCAAACGAGTTTATGTCACTTATTCCAGATGCATAGAAAGAGAAATAAATAGATTATATCCTTGAAAATAAAGAAAATTAATTTTTTTGTTAAATTCATTCAAGTTAGTTGCCTATATTGAAATTTAATAATTCAGATGGATTTAGGCCACAGTAAAATATATAACTAGTACAGTTATTAGTCCTAAGCTAGTTTCAGTAAGTATGGTTGTCTGCGAAGAAGCAGTTGAGTACATATTCAGTGTTTTGTGTGTGTATGTTTCGACAAGTATCTTTAGATGTCCTTATGAAAAGGAATATGTTCTCAGGCCCAAAAGAACTACTCGATGTGTATAACTGATGATAAGTTTTCTTTAGTTATGAAATGTATTGTTTTGTGATAAAAATCTTTGTAAATTTCAGAAGAATATAAGTACAAAGTCGAAGAGACCTTTTAATTAATACATAATGGAATTTCACCAATAATGTTTTTATTTTAGAAAGAATTTATTATGTGTAACCCGTGAAAATATACACTGCGTCACGTAGGCCCTATGACTACGCGAAAAAGTTTTCAGATTATGTTACAGACAGCGCATCGAAATGACCTCATAATATGTTTTCAATGAAGAATCACATTTTCCAATAAACTATTATTTTTTAATATTTTTCTAACTTAGAACTGACACGTCGTTATGATGACGAAAGCAAAAATATTTTCTCTACTGAACTCAAACATTTTTATGGACAGGAATCACTAAAAAAACCAATAAGTTGCAGAATTAATTTTAAAACACTTATAATAAGAATAAAGCTTTGTAAACAAAATAAACTAATGAATTTAGACAAGAGTTTTCTCTCGCTTTTTCTTTTCTTTTGTTATGTCATCCAAAAAAACGATCCAAAGTTGTTTAAAACAAATGTAAAATAATGTGCGTTAGAAGTTATTCAAAAATTGAAATATACTATCAAAAAATGAAAATAGTGGATTCTGTTCGTATATCTATTTTCAACAATTGATTCAATAATTATTTTTGATTACTAACGAAAGATTTAGATTAATAGAGCAAATCGAATCATCATCAAATTCTACATAGTTAGTTATTTCTTTTATTAGATCTTTTCAAATAAACTTTGTGAGACATATTATGCGTGTTTAGTTTTTCAGAAAATGATCATCTACTTCAAATTTCACAGGAATTTGCATCATGAGTAATATGTATAGAGCAAGTGGACATCACTTATCTTTCGTCAAAATTGAATTCGTTTTTTTTCATAGAAATCTTAGCTTCTTATACTTAGAAGTAAATTTTTATTTTAAAAACTTACAAATGGCAAATTATTCGATGTAGTTTTTTCGTACTGATTTCAAATGTGTGTTTATTTTTCTTTCAAAATTCTTCTGAGACAAAAGAATGCTGAAAATCTTTGTAAACGAAGGCTTTTTTGGAAAACCTCTATCTTAGTTCAAAATAATTTACGGTAACTGAGTAAATGCATTAGATAGGAAAAAACATTTTGTGGCAGTTTCATCGAATTTAAAACTATGCTGAAGTATGCGCACCAGCTACATTGAACACGTCGTTTTAGATAAAACTTTTAGATGAGACAGCATGTGTACCTTTTTCAGCAGAGAAGCTGTCAGAACAAAATTTTTATAAGGAATGATAGAGCAAAAACCAAGGAGGAAACATGATACTTCATACTTCACATACTTTAAGATACTTAAATGTACTTTAAAGTACAAAAGTATCATGTTTTTCCCTTGGCAAAAACTCTAATTTCTTTGGAAAAGAATATTTAGAGAGAAAAAAATCATTCTTTCAAAGAAATAATAATCGTAACTAAAATAATGAAATGAAATCGAAGAATAAGCTAATCATTGATGTCATTCTGTTGTAATTGTCCATGTCGTAAAAAAAACGACCCAGTTTTGATGGTTAACCACAATAATCGAAAAGAAATTAACGAGGGGTCATCAATCAAGGACGTCCAGATACTTACTATGAATATTTCCCTATGTTTTTTCCATACAACTCACGATGAAATTTTCTTGGTTAGTTTGTTTTAAAGAGCATTTTTGTATTTAAAGAACAAAAAAGTATTGCAATGGGTTGTATTTTTGTTTGTTGTTTATGAAATATGTGTTTATTCGTTTCTATTTTTGATATTTTTATTTAATGAACTATTATTTAATAAAAAAAACATACAGTCTATTTGAAAAAGCAGGCTTTATCTGAAAGTTTTTTTTTATCGGTCATTAGAGCCCGTTCGATTAGTCTCAGATTCGAATCCAATAAAGTCTAGGTCTGTGATATGTGCAGAGTGCATTATTCACTGAATATAAAAAACCGGAAAAAAAGTATCTCGTATCTGAGGAGCGACTATTCTAGTCCGATTAGAAAATTTCATTGTCAGTATCAAAGTACGTTTGGGCGACATCTCAAAAACGTTCAATAAGGTGAACCCAAATCTGAAAAGTTTGAACTTGACTGACTCTACGGCACGTTCATGAGAGGATTGATACAAGTGGACAAGTTTAGACCTGAAAGAAAGTCAAAGAATGTAATTTTGCTTCAATGTTCTTTATGAATAACCCGTGATTAATCAAAATTGATCAACAATTTTTTGGATATTTTGATAAATCGCGATTCATAGGTGATTATTTCGACAGGTACAATTAATCAACAATAAGTATTTATTAATAAAAAATCTTTATTATTTCCATCACATGAGCGAGTACACAATCATCTCTCTTCTCATTTGTAAAAAACTTGTTTAGGTACAATGATAAAATGTGACCCTGCAACAGTGGGAACATAGTCGAAGTCTTTGTGTCATAAAAATCACCATTTTTTGCATGATTATGATCACATGCGTGTTGCTTTGGATGATTTATGATGCCAGGTAAAAGGAGATTATCGTTTTTGACAAGATGAATAAAATCATTCAAGCTTGATAAAACACCCTATACTATAATACAAAATATATTTACATGATATTATAGCTGTCAAAATATTATAAAAACCAAAATCATTGTGAAGAAATTTATTGTTAGTTTTATTGTTACATTTATAACAGTTATAACTAAATACAAAGTATAAATGGCAACGAGTAAGTTTTGTTCAAATAATAAATATTATATTTTATTTCATAATATAACACAATGTATTAAAACTACTATTTGTCATTTTACTCAGACTTTATAGTCAATCGTCTTGAACGTGCTCTCGGCGTTGATTTAGATGGTGATGGTTATATTGGAGGAGAGGGTAGGATTTATACGATAATAGTTAATATCATTCAATAGTCTATTCTTTCTAAGGTTTTCTTAGCAAGTTAGAAAGAGCAACTCATATTGATTTTAATCGTGATAATATCATCGGTCGTCCACCAGATGTTTTATATCCCTATTCTCCAATATATGATACTGGGTGTAATGGTTTTTCTTCCATGAGTTATGGCGGCTACAGTCATGGTGGCTACAGTTATGGTGGCTATAGTTATGGTATGAGTAATTTCGGATATTTCTATTAAATTTTCAATAAACTATATTATCTTAAATAAAATTTTTCATCAATAATAAAAATATCATTTGTTCTATTTTTATGATAACACAAAATCTGTTTTGTTTTTGAATATAAAATAAATTATTCAATATAAGAAAAAAATGATTTTAATTTGAAGAGTTCAAGTCGAAACCAGAACAAATAAAAGAACTAAAAATTAGAATTTATCAATATTGTATTTAATATTCATTTATTTGATACATTTACAACAAAGACTTCTTTTTGCCGTCAATTTTGCTTTTTCACATAGTACTTAGCGATAGTTTTACTATGTCAACACTTATTGATCTCATATTGTTCTTGAAGGTAACATTACTATGCTATTGAAACGCGAAAAAGACGTTGATTAATGCAGAAACTACATATAATAGGATTAAGGAAATGAGTATATTAGAGAGAAACATTGCAATGAATAAGACATTTTTAATACTTTTATTCCATTTACTCATTTAGAATCGTTTCTATATAGTATTTATCTTAAGGGTAACCATCTCTATTTTTTAATCATGTCACATTTTCCAAGAGACTATAAGAAGCCTGTATGAAAGTTTTGCTACATATAGAGCACGTAAAATAAAAAGATACCTGTTCGAGAACAATAATTCGTCTAACTTTGTCCAAAGTGGCTGAAAATGCGATCACAGATACTTTGAAATAGTCTAGAGAAGTGAAATCAGCTGTTTTTGTTTTTGACTTTCCTATTCAAGTTTCTAGAAAATATAAAATCATCTCTAAAAAACTTTTAGTTCAATTGGGTAAAGTTAGACGGAGCTCATAAGCAGGATCATTATGGTCCTATAAAAAAAAAATCAGAGTTTCTCGAAAAAAACCGCAAAAATCGTGTTTTTATTTTTTCCTCGATTGCTAATCATCTTATTTTAGGTGCTTTATCTGTAGAAAGAATTTCATACTGATTTGTTGCATCTTCTCCAAGAAGCAGATATCGTGTAAAATAATAAGGCGAGTATCCTTAAGCGTCCCAGATATAACAATAATATCACATGAGAAAACAAGTTACATTCCATTGTTTTAAGTTTTAATCTATGTATATAAGTTTGATAAGATCAATTATTTTCATAGTGAAATAAATTCATATAATGACAATTGTTTATTATTATAAATTTTCCAGTGACACAATATAATAGTCTTGTATTTTTCTCGTTTTGTAAAATATTTAATTTCATTTCTGTTTATAAATACATGAAAGACTATTTGCTATGACGATTTATCACACTTATTCCTTTATAAATCTTGTATTATAATGATATTATTTCTTTGAATGAAATACATTGAAAGCAATCAACGATTTAAGTAAGCTCATCTTATTTTTCTACATGATATAGGTTAGTTTTAAATAAGTACAATGTTTTTACATGATCATAATAAGAAAATCATAAATCATTCATGCATAACTACACTTTATCCAACCAACATCGAACAAACAATCGTTTTCTTGTTCTCTCAATATAAACAACTTATCGTAAAAACAAATATAAATCCAGATAAAATGTGTTATTGTCTGACTTTACCTTTTCATGATATTTGAAAGCAGAAAAAAAACAAAAACGATGATTAACTATCTAAAAAATAACTGACATGTATTTTTCTCGTCGCAAATGTGACAATCTATTCATATATTGCTTAATTTTTATAAATAAATGTTTTGATGAATCATGTTGAATAAAATATGAGTATTGATTTGAATCGTGATGGATACATTAGAGGAGAAGATTTATTATACCAATTAAAACGAGCAAAAAAAAACTAAATGATATTTGAGTTTCACTGGACTGCGAAATACAGTGTAAAGTTACTAATGTCAGTTATCATAGAAAACCTGATTTCATAAAAAAAAACAAATAGTCGTTTTTGTGATTTATTTGAAATTGATTTTTTCCGAACAATATTAACGTTCTACTAGAATCAGACCTCATTTATTATCTAGCATTAGGTATAAGCGAAGAAAATGACGAGTAAATTTTGTTGCTGTTATCGTTTCAATTATTACTTTGAAAGTTGAAAAACAAACTAAGCTCTGGAAAATTGTTTTTTTTTTTTGGGTACTATTCTTAACCTTACGGAATATCTTTGGAAAAATCAGATAAAATATGACCTGTTCAGTCTCGATACTTTCATCCCACGTTTACACGAGCGTTTTCTCAGTTTTCGTTTTAGAGAACATCATGATACAAATAACAACTTTCGACGTGTACGATAAGAAAGTCATGGAGATCTATATAAATGCTTTGCTTATACCACATTAAATATCTGAAAAAGAAAGAAAAAGGATAATTGATGTATTGAAATAAATATTACAATATAAAATATTTCACAATAATTATGGTATAACCAGTGAGCTACCGAATATATAATTTTAAAGCTATTGAAAGTTATGTATGAAGATGTTAAAATCAATACACTGTTTATGATTATATGTAAAAATTTTTTTCAAAATCATCAATAACATTTCAAGAAACATGATTGAAATTAAAACTAATTGTTTTTATATTTATTGAGAATTTACATTCATTGTACAAATATTCAATTTGTATAAAATCAGTTGAATTCTATAAATGTCTTTGTTCTTATGTTTTTGGTTCCATATATGCATGAAGTTAATTATAAACTATGTAATCAATGTTATAGACATGTTGATGACTTCCCTACATAAAAGTAAGGAAAGTAATTCTCGTTCGATTCCTGTTATAAATAAAGCAATGAAGTAGATTTGAATATAATCTGAAAACAACAAATCGAGTATATTTACCATGAGAATAATAACAATAAGATATTATTAACACTGAAAACTATTAATTTCAAGACAACAAAAAAAGTTCAAATATAAGCTGATGAACTTTTTATTTGACCAAATCTTCAAATTAGTAATCCTTATTATTGACGAACACTTTTGTTGGTTCAATGCATTCATCAAAAGTTTCTTTTATAGCATTGTTTACTGAACGAATTCATTATCATAGTTATAGCATTATGCAACGATTTAGAAGTATTTTCATCAATCAGGTTAGGTTTAATTAAGCCGAATAGCCGAAAATCCGATGATATCAAGTACGGAAGTGAAGAGACTGCATCGAACCCAGACAGAAACAAGTGAAAACTCTGTACTTTACCGTACTTCAAGAATATGCCAAAGCTATCCTCTAGAACTTCTTGACTATGTCAAGTCTACAATCAACGTGTGTCATGAGCGTTTTAGTTTGAGCTCATTTTGTTATAACTCTTTCACGCAATAAATTGAAAATACTGTATCACAATTCAAGATTTGAGTATCTATGAAGTACGATGAAGTATTTAGGTTTTGTAATTGGAATGATTTGTATAATATGAACTAAAACTGATATGCTTGTGACACATGTGGCTAATAGATTTGCAACAGCTAAGATGATCTCACGAAATAGCTTTGACATACCCTTCAAATGTGCTAAAGTACTGCGTAAGATAGAGAGTTTTTTCTATTTCTTCCTTGGTCGAACTGTCCGAATAATATTTGATTTCGTTTTTTCCTTTCGTAACTATTTATCAATTTTCGTCATTGGAAAAATACTCCCGTAATAGTTGACCATTTACTGCTGCAAAAACATTAAATTGAGTAAATGTTATTTCTTTCAATTTGGTAATAAACGAAGTAAAGCAATTATTTGTCTTATGAATCGATTATTAAGAGTACTCATATATGCATCAGATAACGCATCAGCAAGGGCTTATCAACTTTTATGTTTAAAAATATCATTATAAAAGTTATTACTTATGACCTTAATGTGTAAGCCTGCTTCAATACCTTTTGTGTTTATCAAAAGTACGTTGATAAAGTGTATATCGACGAGGATTTATTCGACAATATTTTGCTAATTATTCTTTAGGTTTGAATGCTAAACAAGGATATTCATTTGTTGTTTTCGCGTTGTTTACTGATAGATGTTTTACTGTCAACGAGTTTTTCATCGAAAAAAAACACAATAGATTTATACATACAAGTGAATTATTGTTTACTAACACTTACTTCGTTATTTTTAGTTTTATACACCTTCGTAATCTTATCGATTTGATAAACGTACGTTTCATCTCGTCAAATCTTTCAATTATATTTTTCATACATGACATGTCCTATAATTTGAAAAGTTAGATGTCTCAATCAAATAAAATTTACTATGAACTTATTATATAACATTTGATTCGTCATTAGTAGGGTTAGTCTAATGGTATAACCTTCAGAAAGAAGTATTGCTAAATAGAAAAGAAAAACTGAAGATATACTCAGCTTTCCGAGTAATTAATTTTTCACTGATACGTATATTGGACATCATATTTTTCATTGATTTCATATTTATGTCGACGTTCAAACAAAAATCATTCCATACATTTAATCGAGCATCATCGATTGATTTATATATATATGATTGGGGTAAAGGCTTGCCAATAACATTTGGAGGTATTTTTAGATGCATTTTGGAAAGTCATATTATTATTAAAAGGTAGGCTTGGTCCATGAAACATTTATTTCGGTGTCATGAGATGTAGAATTCAATTCTGAACAAAATGATATAATTGTTAGTTGATTTGTGAAAAATTTGGCTTGGACTAACAAATTCTAATACTCGCACTGTTAATCATCTAACGATACTTTTAATTACCCCCCCCCCCTCCAGAATGAAAGCTCACTGGGCTTCTATTAAGTTTTGAAAATTATATGTTTAAAGGTGGGCTTCTATTTCGACCCACTTTGTTTCGTCTTCCACAGCAAAATTTTAAAACTGTTCTCGAGAAAAACCGCACTAACATTGCAGGAAATGTATTAAGACCTCTGCAAAAATCAATCTTAACCCAGGAACGTTCAAATGTCATGACATTTTCAACATATGTTAAGGTTGGAGTCGAGAAGCTATGGTAAAATTTTCAGCCCAATACCATAACGTTTTAGGGTGATATTGGTCAAACAAAAGTTATAAAACA